CATATACCTGTTGAATGACTGAGGGACCAAAACGTGAGTGTGTGTGTCTGTGCAGTGTGTCGGTCAGTGTGTCTCAGGTCTGTATTCGAGGGTATGATTGAACAAACGGCGGGTATATGTGGTAGTACTTACATATTTACAAGTGTGTGCGATGTGTTTGGGTGGGGGTCTGAGCATGCATGGATTTGAGTGTGTTAAGTGTAACTGTTTGAGTGTTCATATTTGTGAATAAATTAGTGTTCACATATGTGCAGGTTGGGTTCGTATATGAAGTACATAATGTTATCTGTCATTAAATGAGTGTAGGCTGGTTTTAGTAGTTTATGTACTGTGTTTTACTACAAGTGGATGTCTGTTTGTGTGGATATCTTAATTTGTTAATTATCATTTGACGGTGACAGTTCTGTATGTATTTTTGAACGTACGTATGTGAACATTAGTGTATGTATACCTGTTCCTAACTCCATTCAAGAGGAAATAATTTTTGAAGCAATTCATAGATTACTTTTGCATTATCCAAGTTTCTCCTCCCCTGTAGAATCACAGATAATTGATTCTAATAACAGGAGAGGGTTGATATTCACACATGTTCTCTTTGGGATGTGCCTAGAACTTGGGATAATTTCAGTGAAAGGCATATCAAGCTCAGGATAGATCCCAGATACCTGGGAAAAGAAATTAGGAAGAAATGAGGACATTTAACTTAAAGATAGGCTAAAGTGGTAAAACGAGCTATACCCTGTGATGGCACATGGATAGGGGGAAAGCCCTGATCAAAATTCTTGGAGCACAAAGCAAGAGGAGCAGGACCCACAGAGTGTGCTGTCGGGGTGCTGAGGGCTCAGCATTGCCAGTTAAGGGAGAGACCCCTTCCTGGGGTCATTGCACACCTGGAGGCAGAGGCCTGGATCAGATGACTCCCCTTAACAAATCATTTTTCCATATTAAGTATTTTATGCTCCTTCTCTTCAGGAACAAATACAGAAGTGTCTCAAGTGCCTAAGAAAAGAAAGAGAGGAGATCCAAGAAATCCAGTCAAGAGAAAATAAAAGGATACAAGTCCTCCTGGTAGGTCATCACCCCTTCCCCAGGTCCCTCTCCTTCCTCGCAGTCCAGTGTCACCCTAACACCAAGGCGGCATAGCACATGGGGCTTTGAAGTCATTCTGAGTTTGAGACCTGACTGACACTAACTAAATGACCTCGAGCAACTCTCTAACTTCAGTTTACTTGTCTGTAAAATGGTGATTAAAGCTCTCTCTGCAGTCTCTGCTTCCATTAAAAAAAATGGTGATTAAACACTGTCACTACCTCATGGAATTGCTTTAAGGATGAAGTAAGATTGTGCCTGTAAAGGGGCTCAGTGCTGTGTGCGTAGCGTGTGCTTCACGGAGGCAGAGGTAGAGTGTCCCCCCCACTTCCTCCTATGGCTCCTCTGAGCTCTGCCTTTTTTGGAAGCTCCAGCAGGTGGTGCTGAGGCCATGCTGGGCAGTCTAGCTCCCAGAAGTGGGATGGCAGGTGGAAGGGAAACCATGCTGCAATTCTAAATCTGTCTGGGGACCGTAAAAGTGAAGTAGGGGGCAGTTCTGATTTTACCACCAAACCTTGGAGGACGTGGGTCTGGGCCAGGAGGGAGATGGGAGTGAAGTAAGGAAAAAGAAGAAAAAGGAAGAGGGGGAGGGGAGAGGAAACTGTTCTCTGGGCTCTCCTCCTGCCCCCTCAGACTCAAGTGGCCACCAAGAGACAACAGGTGATTTCTGAGTTTGCACATCTGAGCCAGTTCCTGGAGGAACAGCAGAGCATTCTCTTGGCACGATTGGAGAGGCTGGATGGGGACATCTTGAAGCAACGGGAGGAGTTTGATCTCCTGGTCGCTGGGGAGATCTGCCGGTTTAGTGCTTTGATAGAAGAACTGGAGGAGAAGAACGAGAGGCCAGCAAGTGTGCTCCTGACGGTGAGGCCTGAACCAGCCCCGTGCCCCCCTGTGCTCTCCCGGGATCTTTGCGTCTGTCCCGTGTCTAACCCATGTCTCCTGCACTCGCACAGCTCTGTATTCCAGCTGGGAAATGGGTCACAGGACCAGGAGACCTGAATTCTAGTCCATGCTTCCCCAAGAGTTCCCTGGTC